TATTTGTATTTCCTGAAATTTTTTGACCAGTTTCTCAAGAAGTGATGCGTACCTCCCACATTGTTTTCATCTGTGTGATAGCAGGTGGAGCAAGTAAAACATCAACCTCCCATTGACAAATTTCTTTCCCTTTACCCTCTTTATTTAATTTCCTTTCTTTACTGAGAAGGTCTTTTTTGCTCTTATCCCTTTGCTCTTTTTCTTCTTTCACACTTTCAAGCAGATAAGATAGAAAATCCCCAGCTGAAACAGAAAAAGAAAATAAAAACTGATTTGCAGGGGCGGTTTGAAGCCCAACTGACGGCGTCTCATCTGAGACCGACCAGGGAGGGGAGGGGAAGCGGGGAGGAGGGGCTGATTTAAAACATACAGGACTTTATTAAGAAATGGGATGACTGAAATCTACTTACCTCTACGCACACTACTTCCTTCACTTTCAGTATCATCTGTTTTAATGCCATGTGTAGACATCAATGAACACTGTTTTTTTAATTCTCTGTAACAGGAAACAACATGAATAATGATCTAAAAGCTAACACGATTACATAGTACATAACAATTCCCACACGTACAGAGGAAGCCTAGACAAGCCAAGTTTGTTTTCAAACACTTGCTCAATGCGAAGTGCTCTTTTTGTGTAAAGTGCGTCTGGCCCAAAATAACGGTATGTATTTAACAACAACAGTCTGACATCCTTCACAAAATCAACTATAGTCAGGTACTCATTATTGTCAAAACGCCTTTGAACTGAAATAGAAAGGAAAAAAATACATGTCATACAACAACAACAAAACAACAAATTATAAGTAAAGAGTACTAGAAAAAATCTCACTTTCTTCAAACCACATTGGTTTTTCTATCACATCATGATAATCTATCATCCCTTTTTTGGCTTCTGGGTAATGGAGAAAAGTTGAGTTTGTATTCAAAAGATCTTGAAGGATCCTAAAAAAAAATCAAAAAAAAAAATTAAAAAAAAACAAAAAACACCATTACAAACCAAAGTAATGAGTTGTTGTTTTTTGTTAACAGGTGTCTTGTTTGCGCTCACCTGTAACCCAGACGAAGCCCCACTTCCACCTCACTCTCCGGCTCTTCCTTGACCGAAACATTCTTCTCAGGGATGAGAGACCTGCCACCGCGTGCTGCACCTCGAGAAGCTTGCTGCCTCGTCCTCCTCGGGCTCGGGTAAGGCACGTCGTAATCACTATCGCTGTCGTTGCTGCTTCTACTACTCTCCACGCTCTCGTCGTCGGCTTCGTCTACGGCCTCTTGCGCGGAGCTGGGGGAGTGATCTTGAGAGTCCTGTGTGGCATCCTGGTCGCCGCCCTCGGTGTTGGAGTCTTCGCCGCTCCAGACAAGCTCCGGCGCAACCTGCTCGTTGTCATTGGGGGGTGCATCATCCGGACCGTCATCCTGAGCTCCGTCCTCGGCACTCGAGTCTTCTTCACTGGTCGGGACCGACTCCGACGTGATCTTCTTCTTCTTCTTGCGAGGCCCGCCACGGCGACCTCTGTCTCGTGGTCCTCGGAGGGAGACGTGCTGCGTTTCTCCATCGTCAATCTGGGTTTCGTTTACCGCGTCTTGCTGAGTCTCGCTCTGGGCACCGTCCTGGGTCTTCGAGTCTTCCCCGCTCCAGACAAGCTCTGGCGTGACAGTCTTGTTGCGGGATCCACCAGCCGGGTCGACATCCTGGGTATCATCATCTGTGTCGTCCTGGCCGTCGCTTTTATCCCTGTCCGGAAGCTCGGTCACCGCAGGATCGCCGAGAGACCGGTCGGACTCTGACCCCGGGTCTCCAGGGTCGACCTCTGCACCCGAGGCCGAGGCCTCCTCGTCGGCCATGGCATGCGTTCAGGGTCCTGGAACACAAACACAGAGAAGTGTAAGGACGACGTAAGCATGTGTGGCCCAAATTGGATGAGGATGTCCCCCGTCCGCCCCGCTCCGGATACGCGGCCGCTAACAGGCACTTCACATCACACCCGGAGTATTCCCAGGCCAGTGCGAACAAATACGGTATGCCGGATAGACGCAAACTCCCTGTCCACTACAACATGTTTGCTTTCCCCCGTACAAGTGGGCCCGTCCAGTCGCGTCGCCCTGGCCCTTCCCTTCCCTGCGAGTGGCGAGAGTCGGCGTGCGCCGCCAGGTTTACGCACAGTACAGGGGAGGTAGGCCCGGCCCGGCGCGACGCATGCAGAAGCACCCGCGGCTGCACGTGCCCCTGGTGCACCGCAGTCTGCACCGCAGTGCCCGGGGTCCACGGGGTTGGCCTGGCCTCGGCCCTGCAGGGTACCACGAGCACCGGTGGGTACGGCGGGCACAGGGCCCTGATGGTGCAAGTGAGAGGGGGCGTAAGGGGGGTCGACGTCTCTCTCCCACTGGAGTCTACGTCCCTCCCTGACCTGACCATGCAGTGACCACGACCTCTCCCATGCCCCTTTGATCTATTTACGGCCGACACACCGGACATTGGAACTAATTTGTCGTCGGTGAGTAGCTACGCTACGATCGACCAGGCGCGCCGGAGGTGCACGGCCTTAACCCCGCCGCATGCACTGCACGCTCTGGATGCGCCAGCTGCAATCAGCGTCATTCATTTCTGAGCGGCTTGTTACAGTAATTACTGTAGTATTCTTTCTTGAATGGACAAAATTGGAGTGTTTTGTTTTGGAATTATTTTTCTCTTGTGATTTTAACTATTTAAATCTTGGGGCTTGTCAGGGTTCAGGAGCGAAATTTCACACCGGTAAAATACATGGTACTGTCTGCACATACGACGCAGCGAAGTGCTTTCCTCTCGACAACATTGTGGCCATGTTGTGCGGCCCCTCCCCTCCCAGTGGTAAATAAAGTGACTCTCTCGTTGAGTGATGGCTGGTGGCGAGTCGTCAAGTGTCGGGCGCAGGCGTTGATTAGTCCAGGGTCCGGGCGCACGCTATGTGGCGCAGGGGCGGCGGGGGCAGGCTGTAAGGAAATTGCGCACCGACCGCGGCAACGCGAGGGCGACGTTCGCATAGGACCGTGCAGCTGGCACACTAGATAGCACTTAGATTTCCCACCACTTCTTTGCTAGGGTTTCGTTGTATTCCCCTCCCTCCCCTCTTCCGGTAAGTTTGGACAGCTCTCGTTTGGCGAGCCTTTCCCGACAGTGTGGCTGCGTGCAGAGGGCGCAATACAAACCGCCGGCCATCAGCGGGCCGGGGGTCCGATGGGCGCCGGGGGACATCAAGCCCATCCTCGGCACACACTTCTAATTCGCGAGGACACGCGACCAGCTCCGGCCAATCACAGTCGTATGACAAACTTGCAGGGTTTACGTTTCATTATTTTGTCTGAAAGTTAATTTGCCTTGCCGCTGGCACCTTACATTGAGCGGGACTAGATTTCAAAACTAACATGCCCAATGTTAGAACGCGCAGAGCGCTACCCGGCCAGATACCTCCTCGCCTCGTCCAGGGCCCAGGTCACCGCCTGCGCTGGAGCGATAAATTGAAGCTATATTCAACTAAGCATTTATCTGAGCTACGCGACCCCAAGCGTGCGCTTCTGCAAGCGTGAGCAGGGCGAGGGGCAGGGAGTGGGGAGGAACGGCGCCCGCGATCCACGCCGCGCCAAGCGGAGCTCACGCTTGGGTCACACTTGGGCCACGCTTGGGGGCGCGTAGCTCACGAAAAACGCTAAATTGAATATAGCTTGAAGCTAAAAAAGTAGGCGACAGCTTGCGCGTACTCTGACACCTCTCTGCTCCACCTTGTCCCCGCGCCCCGTGCCCTCCCCCTCCCCCGCGCTAGCCGCGCTGGGCGCTGGCCGGCCCGCGCCCGGGAGGCAGGCCGCGGGCCGCCAGTGCGGACGCGGCTGTGGAGCGGGCGGCCTACCCGCTCGGTCACAGGCGCCCCGGGCGCGCCATGTAGAGCGCCGGCCTGGCCATGGCCTGGGACGTGCCCCCCGAGGCCAACGACGCCGACGTCCCGGCTTCGGCCGCCGCCCTGGCGACGACGCAAACCAAGGCCAGCAGGCTCCTCGCCGCAAAGAAGTAAGCAAAGCAATGCGGCCACTGCGTCCGCCGCTTCTTCCTTTCCGCAGGGGGCGTGGCGTGAGCACGGGAGCACGGGTGTGAACACGGGTCTGATCGCCGGATAGACAACGGGGCTCCGCGACCGCCACCGCGTGTTTCAAACTGGCCGGGCTTAATGCCAGTCATCAGGTGATCGTTAGCCGCGCCAACGGCCGGCGTGCATTAGCCGCTTGTTAGGGGCGGGGCGCGCCCGAGGCGAGGGCGTGCAAGCGCGGCTGGCGCACCCCGCCCCCGCACCTGACAACTTTATTTTTTATTTGTTAAATT